GCCATTTTTTTAAAGTTTCCCTATCTCCCATACTCTGACAGTCTTTTTCTACGTGCACTTGTACTTTTATGTCTTCAGTCCCCAATTTTATAAATGATCTTACTTTTTCAAACTCTTCCACTCACTTTTATAGCCCTTCTCCCTTTGTAACATCCTCCACAACCTCTCGTTCTGTGCAATGACTGTGTCCACTTTCTTTTCTCTCAAAAATTCTTACATCTTCTCTCTTTTTGATGCCATTTTTACAGTACTTCCCTAATTTTCCGTGCTAGACCACTTTCCCTTCCACCACCTTCTTTTTATTCTATTTCTGTCAAATTGGGCTTCTCTGTTTCCTTTTCTACTCGTGATACCGTGCGTACTCTTTTGCTATCTGCTTCACATTTCCTCTCACGCCGATTCTCCTACATCTTATCCCATCCCTTTTAACCGCCCTCCTTCTTTCTGCACATATGCACTTCTCCTTCCCGCTGCTCAATCATAAATTGTTTCCACCTTTCCTCGCTCTCATATTCTGGCTGCTAGCTCTTCTCGCAGCCTCGTTCACTGGTTCCTGACACCAGACCGTTTCTTCTTCATTACTTTCTCTCTTTTTCACTCTCATATGCCCCACTCCGGCTCTTTGGTCTCCTCCTGTCATTCTATCTTTTCTTCCCATCTCTCCTTCCACTCCTCCTATTTTCCTCACTCACTTCTCCTTTGGTCTCTCTTTGTCATCCTCCCCACCTATCATCCTCCTCCTCGCCCTCCTCCTCTCTCTTCATCTCTCAGAGGTGCAGCCAGCACCGAGTCCATTTCTTCTTTTTTGGCGACAAAAGCTGACAGTCCAGTTCTGCCTGGCTTTTGCTGCCAGCCACATTTCTCTCTCCCCACTCGCTCTGCCTCTCTTTATCTATTCTCCCTTCCTGCTGAGTAATAGTTTCCCTTTTTGTGATTAACATAAAACTTTCACTGCGTTTCGTTTGGTTTACCCAAAATACATTTAAAAGGGGGGTAGCATTAAATGTCAAGGAAAGCAAAGATAATTGCATTTCAGTGGTTGGCTTTATTTGTTTCAAGTATTAATATTTAATTCAGCAGTTGGACTAATAAAAGCTGACATATCATTATATCATTCTCTATCCTACTGTAGTTCGAATTGTTCCTCTATGAAATAAATGGTTGCTAACACAAAACCTTCACAGTACTGCGATCTCTTTCAACTCTAGTCCCCCTTCTTGTTTTTTGTTTCATCTCTTGCAGTCTTCCACTCTTTCTGATCGTTGCTCCTCAGTAGTTGTGCCATGTAGTAGTGTCCACTGTAAGGCTGAGGAAGGGTAGAAAGAAATATGCTAAATTTTGGAAGACTATGCATGTTAGAGCGTACTTGGGAAAGAGACTTAACCTCAAATTGCCCCCAGTGCATCCATTAAACTCTGAGTGTTTGCGTGATAGTGTTAGTTTTATATTTGAAAGCAGAAATTGTGCACTGGAAAAACAGATAATGTATGATAGCAGACCAGAATAATGATTTTTAATGAAGATGTGGAGGCTGGATTTGAATTAGCATGAAGGTGCCTCACAAGCATGTTACATAATGTCTTAAATATCACTAATCTAAGTATGTATCTGACATGCAGACTGTAGGCCTAAAAAAATCTACAAGAAAACAGGAACCAAGCTGATGAACTTTCAGCGAGGTGACGATAGCTTCATTTCTGTGTTACAGTTTTAAAAAATGGGCAGTCTCACCTACCTCAAACACTGAATAGGCTGCTGAAGTATAACTGTAGTTTTCAAAAACACTACAACATAAGAGGCAATCCACAACACATCCTTACTTCACCAAAGGAAAGAGACGTATTGTGCTGCACTCTGTTCGCTCACAACGTGATTTAAGAGGAAGTTCTAGTGCAACAACAGAATGCGATGCAGTGTTTTTGATGGATGCTTTACACAAAGATCTCGACTCAAATTAATACAGCTGATTCAGATCAATCGATACATATGCCCCGTTTGCCCCTAAACATGTGCTTTCTCTTTGCTAACGACACCCAGCAGAGGATTTGGAGCACATATGTACACAGTACTCGACATGTGGAGCCATTGTTGGATGTCTTTGCGCTATAATTGCCTTGATGGCTAAATGACACGATGATTACGAGGTTGAAGTGCAGAGGCTTTCATTTAAAGGCGTTTTGGAGATTATTTCAAACAATGAGCTTCCTTCTGAAAGGCTATAACAGGCAGGTTGAGAGCCCATTGTGAAACGTGAAAATAATAAACCCCTCTTGTCTTTTCTTCCATGACAGTGTCTAAGTCAGAGAGCGAGGGAGAGAGTTAGCATGACGCAGATAGATTGATAGATATACAGAGAGGGAGGTGGGGGGAAAATGCAGGCTTCTTAAAGGAAATGTCTTTAAGGTGGATAATCACGGATAATAATTCTATCAACACGGAGAAAAAAAAACAGCTTTCAGGTCTCAACGTCTGTCCGTCTGCCAAGACATTTATCTCACTGTCTGCACGTCTTTCTACGTGCGGTTTGACTGTTGTTCTCTCCTGTAACGTGACACAGACAGCAAATTAGCAGCAAGTGTGGGAATTCAAGCAGTCACTGGCTCCTGAGAGCACACACTGCTCATTAGACACGTCTTCATACAGGAACACCCAGTCTCAGCAAGGACAAGTGGAAACGCTGCACAATTTACACCGACCTTCCTTTACTACTCTCTACATGGTATTCTTTACAGTGTAGGAGAACCATGCGGAATGATTTTTACACCCTGATCATATCACATGCTGCAGATTATAGCTAATCCTTATTGAGCTAGTGTCACCTGTCTTCAATCTGTCAGTACCAGTTTTGTATAACATACATTCATCATTGCTAAGGTCACCATTTTGTGCCGGTCAGCTGTCTCTCACGAGTAATTATATCTTCTTTCATTTGCACACATTATTCTTTGTTTTACTTTATAATGATCAAGCAAAACATGCACACAAATACACATTCATAGGTTATCATAATTTTGAGATAACCGATGACTTTTTCATTCATACAGAGATTGCAGCGCTCGCTTTTGATGCATGCACAGGTATATTGAGTATTCCATCAATTTTCCAATGAATCAAGTGATCTCATAAAATACTTTTGTCTTATTCATGAGCGACACTAGTTATTAGTTAGTCAAAGAGGAAAAAACGAAGCACTCACTGGTTTTCATTTGAGAAACTGCAATGTGTCCAACATATGTCCACAAATACTAAACTCTTTCGTTGTATTTAATTGCCATATTAAAATCTTTTTTTAAAGAAAACTTTTTTTAAAAACGCAAAAATAAATAAACAATCACAAGTACAGTGATGTTAAATAGAATAGTTATACATAGGACCGACACAAAGCCATAAAATAAAATACTGACAATATTTATACGTAGAGTTGGTGTATGTTCATGTGTATGTGTTTCCTATATTTTATATTAACTACATGTGCAAAAGTAATGTTACTAAAGCCTTAAAATAAACATGGTGTAGTACACCCCATGCCCCCCTTCAGGCTCACCCCTGCATACTGCAGTGATAGTAGGACCCCTGATATCAGCCTTGTGTGTAAACACTGTGTGTGCAGACAGACACGTTAAACTGTTACACAGTGAGAACTGAGCGCTGCAGAGTCGCGGTTTTAAAGTATCAAAGCAAAACTTTAAGTTATTAAGTTACTCGATGAATCGCTGCAGCTCCAAACTGAAATGTTGGGCAGTGACCTTTACTAAAATTTCAGCCTTTTGAAACAACTTGCTACTTTTGGGCTGATTATTAGTCTTCATAAATGAGGAGGAAAAACTGGGATCACTCCGTCTACGGAGCCTGTCAGTAACCATAGAGCGAAAAATCTTTCAAGGCCACTTTTTACTCATTTACTAGTGACAGAGCAGCTGTGAGGTTCTGAAATTAAACTCCAACATGGCCGTGGAGTATTTGAACTCTTAATCAAATTATTGAACTTTATTAATGCATATTTCACTCCTTCTACTGCAGCCAGTCTGAATCCAGCAGCTGGGTTTTCTATAACCGTGCTGCACCATTATAGTCCTTTGTGGAGTTAAAACACAAGGAAGAGCATAACTAACATCATATGCCTTATAAATGATACCCAGCTAAATTTTCTTATTCATAACCCATCTACAGAAACACAGCTGGGAGCTACATATATTTAGTTATTGCTTTCATTGCAGTTTTAAAGAGCAATAATAGTAGTAGGAGAAAAAGATAAATGGATAAAAGGTTTAGCTTGGTTTGGGTGTTTTTTGCAAACTGACTCTGACAGTAGGTCAGCTGGATGAGGCTTATTGAAATTTCTACGTGCGACCCCAGCAGGACAAATTTACGTGGACCATCTGCAAAGAGCCCCAAGATAATACAAAAATGTCCGATATCTTCAGTCAGAGTAGCGTCAGCATAATCACTTCACAAACACTTGACTGTAGCTTGCTGTGTGCTTTACTATAGGAAACGGACAGTGCTTGTATTTTAACAACTCTGTACTAAGTAGCAGGCAGAGTTCACCTAATGCTTTGGGGAGAAAGGCTAATCTGCTGTGCAGGCTCTCCATTTACAAGCACACGAATAAACCAAAGCGTGTGCACAAAATCATTTAAAATACGGGAACAAATTAACCAAGATGTGTGAACACACTCCTAACCACAAAATACCCAAATGCCTTCCAAATATATACATTATCAGAATACTAATATCATGCAAAAATTCAGTCAAGAGAAATATTTGTGTGTATTTATATGCAAAGTACATTTTGAAGTGGTGGTGGTATGCATTAACCAGCATTACAACCATACATTTAACCAATAAGTGTCCTATTTGTTTGCATACATAGAGGTCGCAAGAAAATACAGTTTAAACCCAGCCACATTACACTGTACACATATGCACGGCAACCAAACACACAGCAACAACCTGGAGGTTGGAAGAAATCCAATCATACTACATGCAGAGTTTCTTACCTGCTTGTGCATCTCAATGTTGAGACCGTAGGACATCTCATAGTACTGCGGAGACACACACACAGAGACACACGGAGCTTTGTTAGCATTTTATTCACAGCCCACGTTAACATTCATTCTTACACAAAATCTCCCATTGAACAGCTGTTGCTCGGCACAGCCGCATATGCTGCTGTTTGTCACTGCGGTTTTAACGACAGAAAGAAAACGAGCGCGCCAAAAGACGGAAAAGATGAAGAGCGCACATGGGATGCACAACAAGTGCGTGTCTGTCTACGTGGAGGTAATGAGATATTTTTGTCTCAGTGTTACACGAGCATTTGTATGTGCGCGCGTGTCGTGCGTGTGTCAGGGTTTCTTCCTTTTAACAGTTTGACTATTTGTGCACAGCTGCCAAATGAGCATGACATTATGAGTGTGCTTGTGTGTGTTAACTGCATGTTGTTTTCTCTCACCGTTTGTGTGGATGTTGGTTTTATGCGCACGAACAGCTATGCGTTGTATCCAAATAATAAGACTCTGTGAATGCTTACTGTGAACATATTGTGCTCGGTGTGTGTATAGTCTGTGTGTCGAATACTCTACAGGCACAAAATCTCTTTCCACACCTTGGATTACCATGAAATATCTGTCCGGGTATTTTAAGTAAAAAACATCTGGCAATGCATGGCGTAAATGCACGCACAACACAATGCAACTGGATTGCTACAACCTTGGCCAAACCACATCTAGAAGCTGGTATTGTGAGCACACAGGTGAGGTGTAAATGCAGACAGTGTGGCCACGAGAAAAAAAAATGAATGTACGCCTTCTTCCTGCTTTTTGCTCATTTCAAAGGCCCTTTTTTAACAGAGAAAAACAGGAGCCCGCAAAGCGTCACTGCTTCCCTTGATGTGGGACACAAGATGTAACGCCTCCAATCAGATGTCATTATCCAGCTAAAAGCTTAAGCTATCGAACTGATTAATGATGGATTCAGCTGACTGTCAATCATTTGCAATATTTTAATGATTAAATAACTTGTGTCTTCTGCATTTATATGCAAATAATTATTGCATCGTTTTACTCCGTTTTCTGGACTAAATGACTTATTATTTAACTAACAGACCGACTACCATAGAAACTATTATCAGCTTTAGCCGTGCTGTGCATAATGTGCACATATCACATCAAACCAAGATCTAAAGAGGTCAATAACACAACATATCAATACCAGCGCATGTCAGGCTCCTGTCCTGAGTGAGTATGTTTTGTGTTCCTTTGTATGTTTGACACAATACCTGCGCCTCTTCTTATTAAATGCCGTGTGCTATCACCACTGCATGTGTTCCCTTCCTAAATATGTGTCTCTCTCTCCTCTGTGTGTTTCTGTGTGTACATCAGTAATGTTCTGTAATGGTGTTGGCGGCGAGCGGCACACAGACAGCGAGGATCTGTCATGGTGACAAAGGCATCCTCTGCCGGTGGATGAGCAACGCTCTGACTGATGAGAGTGAGACACGGCTCTCTCTCTTCCCCCCCACTCTCGGTATTCTCTTGCTCATTTTCACTCGATCGCTCTCTCTTCTCTCCATTTATTCCCCGCCTCATTCGGTCCCTCCCTCTCACTCCAATCTCTATCTTTTAAGGGGTTGTCAGTCCATCTTTTCTCTCATGCTGCTCTCTACTTATTCCCTTCCCTTTTTTTCCTAGCTGTCAGATGTTCTTTCACTCTCCATTTCAGTGTATTTTTCTATTTCCTGTCTCATTTTACTGAACTCTGTATCTTTGCCTTTATCTGTCTCTACCCATGGACTCACCTATCCATCTCGAATTCAAATTACGTACTCGGAAAATGTAAAGAAGAATAAGAACAGTGTTTTAAAAAGCAAGCAGTTTTTGCATTACTACAATATATTTACAATATTGCAGGATTACATACTAGCGTACTGCAAGAACGACTAAAGATCAAAAGCAAAAGGAGGACTTTTGAAGAAGCTCGGTACAGGTTCCCTGGTTTCCCCCTCAGGTAGTGACATGCTGTGGCACATTTTGCTGCTTCGGTGTGTCAGTATTTCCGTCATTAAGCTTTTCGTCTGTGCATGTGTGAAATTATTGGTATTTTTGCTCTAGTTCAGAAATGAGTGGCCACCTTTATAAATAAAGAATTTACCTTTTCATTTATATAAAAGTGATTCCATTCCATAAAATATAGCTATTATTTGGGGAAAAGACCCCACTGTGAGTTGACAGATCGTCCTTAATCAAGGCATAGAAAATCACATTGGCACATCAGTACAATTTACCCATCAGGGCCTCTAGTGGCTGTATGAATTATTACTGGCTTGCCAGGAACGATGGCAGACACAGAGTGACATCATTACTGTAAAACATCTTAGAAAGAGGTTGAAATGGATTTTTTTTTTTAAACTGCAGGAGTCGAGATCACCATAAGTCATCTTTGTGCCCCACCACGACCAAACCTGACTCCCTCTGTTGTCACTCTTTTGTCCCGTCTCTCCTTTGTCACCTTCTTCCTCCCTTGCATCCTCTCTCGCTCTCAGCTGCCAAAGCCTTTTCTGTTTTTCTGGCCAATTATCCTTTTCGTTCATTTCTCTGACCTTCTTTCCCTCTCCCCATTACACTCTTTTATCCCTCCCCCCTTGTTTTATCTATCTGCCGTATCATTTTTGTTTCCGTCCCTTACACTCTCTTAGCCTTTCTTTCCCCCTTTTAGTAATTTCTATCAATCATCCCTCTCCTTTATGTTCTCGCCCCGCTTCATGCTCTCGCGCTCTATTGCCATTTTCTACTTGGCTCCCTTGCTTTGTGTATTTTGTCCGCTCTCGTCCTTGTTGAGTGCTATATCTACATTTTCTCCTTTCTCTCCCTCTGTCGAGCTCACCTCCGCTGTGTATTTAGTTCTCTATTCTTTCCATTTCTGGCCAAAAAAACGGAAAGAAAGAAAAAGAAGTCATGTGCACAAAAGCAGATGCAATCTTGCGATCTCGTTCACCTGTGAAAATGCAAACAAACTTTGCTGAAAGCAAATGCACACAAACACATGTGAGTAGGTCTTTGCATGAAGGTGTCTCCCTTTCCAGCCCCTCTCAACATAAAGGACATGTGACATCTCTCTTTGTTCTCCCCCTCTCTCCAGCTCTCCTCAGCTTCTCTCTTCTCCATCATTAGACCTCCCCTCAGCTCATCCCATCGTTTTAACTCGATTCCTGTCTGTCTCTCTTTATTAATTCTCCCTCCATCGCTGCCATCAGCCTCACTACCTGTCATTACTCTTTCCTTCCCTCCTCTCTTACATCTTCCTCTTTTACAAAAAAAAAGAAGTAGTAATCAACATTTTTCCCATTACACAAATAGCTGAGTGCTACAACTGGGGCTCCTATATTTGAATACAACCTTGCCAGATCACTTCAGCAGCCGACCTTTGCAAGGACACTCCAGTCTGGACTTATACGAAGTAGCTGATTGTACAGTTGTACGTTATGCAAAAGGCAGGGTACCCATGTGCAAACGGCCTACAGTAAAGTGGAAAAAAATAAATAAAGACAGCCACAGCTAACGGATTTTAAAAATGAGCCTTTAATGACAGGGAAGGTTCAGAGCTCGATAAACTCTCTCACATTTAAAACTTTGAAATCAAGCTAACCTGCAGCTTTTCCACTGTAGCAGGAGAACTGAGATCAAGGAAAAGTTACGGATAAAACTGGGCAGAAGCAAAATCCTGCAGTGGAACAGCACAAAGCAGAAATCTGTGCAAATAGTATATCTTCCGGGATGAAATGAGGAATTATTGTTGTGCTCATTAAGAGGTCTTTATGTCTTACCACAGGCCCTATGACAAACAATTTAGTTATGTAGGGTCATCTAATGGATTGCTTTTTATATGCATTTATAGCTTTTTAATGTGTATATTTGATCACTCACTATATTGCATGATACAGAATATCACATTTGATACTTTTCTTATTATGGATACTGATTTTTCCTGTCAGTGTTTTGGCTTTATTTGCATAAATGTATGTGCAGTTGTTTTTGGATCTATGTACTGTATCCCTGTAGGTATCTGTAAGTATCACTATTTGTGCTTTTGGCTGACAGAGGATTTCTGCCCCCTGTGTTCATCGCAGGTTAGGACCGGTTGGTGCTTTAACATCCACATGAAAATCAGACACACTGAGAAAAGCCACAGCCTAAAATTTCTTTTTGCAGTATTACAGGGTATGAGCAACTGTGATTGCTCACATTCTCATTAATATGTTTTTTAGCTTGCATGAGACCAAAAGCAAAACGTGTAATAGCTATGTTGGTCCACGGTTTAAAATGTAGTATTTTTATAATAAAGGCAGTTGCCGGGGGCATACTGTAGGGATGAGACTCGTCACTTGAGGAACCAAGCAAAATGAAAAGGTCTATTTTAAACCACACCATGATCTTTTCCTAAATTAGGGTTGTTTTGGTGCCCAAAACTAACAGGAAAGCATAAATTGTTTTCAACTTTTTATTGATTTGTAGGAAAAGTGGCTAAAACTTTCAAAAACTGAAGCCTATCTCAGCTACTACAGTGCAAGAGGCGGGGTACACCCTGAACAGATCGTTAGCCTGTCGCCAGGCTAGCACAAAGATTCACACATACGGGCAATCTACAACCATCCATTTACCCGATCCCACTAACTGCACACCACCGTGCTGCCCTATAAGCATATCTGACCCCACAAATAATGCCCTTTGTATCATGTTTGATACATGAGTTTCTGAGACCTCTATCTCAGCAACATGATCAATACTTGTTATGGACAAAACTCTTTTTTTTTGTCTAAAATTAACATTGTTGTTAACAAAAAGTTGCCAAAAACACCCAATGTATCAAATGCGATGTAATAAATATATCATACACAACATGATATAGCAAAAACAAAAATTGTGGATTTTGTTATAAGGGTTAGTAAACATCTCAGTTCCAAAAAAAATCAGAATTTTGCAGGGTGTTTGGGTCTTACAGGGTTTCTTTTACTTTTTTCATACTTTGAGTGCACTGTTTAAAATGT